ACCCAGCAAAGAGCGGTGTTAGGCTCCAGCCAGCTCCAGGGGGCTGCGGGGCTGGGTAGCCTGCGTTGGGGGCAATGGAGCGGGGGGAGCTGGGTTATCCGGGGAGCTGGGTTATCTGGCAGCACGGACATACCCTGCAGCACAGGGACTCGGGTGTTGGTGACACCGCAGGGCCAGGACACCAGTGGTTCAAGGGCGGAACTCCTCACTGGGGGATGCCCTGACTGCTCGCAGTGCTTCAGAGTCCCACCTGGGCAAGCTCAGGGAGGAAAACTCTGGCGAGGGTGGCTCAACGTGGGGCCGTGCTGTGCTGGAGGCCGGGGTTGTGCCAGGGAGCAGCAGTTGCACCCATTGCCGGGCAGCCACTCCACAAGGCTTCATGGCTGCTTGTTCTCCTGCCTTCCCCACTGGAGCCATCCCCGGGGGGACACGGTGGCCCCTTTGCAGGATGGGTCACTTCTGCCAAGAGCAGTGCTCATTGCTCCCTACCCAGAAATGCTCCCGCTCGCCTGTTTACAGGAGACCCTACACCAACACCCGGAGCGGGCAAACACTGCTCACAGCCCCGGGACTCCCCGAGTGCCTGGTCCTGCCCTGGCCCTGCAGCCCGGCCCCCTAGGTGGCACAGGGATGGCTGCCAGGGCTGGCAAGTGGAAGGGAAAGCACAGCTGGGGCTCACCCGGAGGGGTGCTGAGCTCCTGCGGCCAGCTCCTGGATGGGGGGGAAGCACCCTGACCTCAGGCGGTACCACCCCCCTTGCTGTCCGCCCAGCTGGGCCGCAGGTCCTTCACGTGCCCCATCAAACATTAACAGCCCCTCAGCGGGGCAGGCAGCAGGGCCAGCAGCAGCACCCGTCCACCATGGCCCTCAGCAACCGCCTTGCTTTGCCACTCCGGCCCGCCCTGGCAGCTCTGCGCCAGGCAGCCCCCGGGCAGCGCCGGGGGCTCAGCACCCCTTTGGGACCGGGGCACACGCTCGACCTCAGGGGCATCTTCCCGCCCCTCACCACCCCCTTCTCGCCCACGCAGGAGGTGGACTATGCCCGGCTGGAGGGGAACATGCGCCGCTACGCCAGCATCCCCTTCCGAGGTAAACGCTGCCCACTGCCCCTATTCGTGAAGGCTCCTGCCAGACCCCTGCCCAGCACAGGGGCTGTGCGGCAGCGTGCAGGCACCCTGCCAGCTTCCCAAGGGTGCTCAGCCTCCAGCTGGACTTTGCTCAGGAGCTGGGAGCCCCTTGGGTGACCCATCCGGGGCCCTTTGCACGGCATGTGCCCAGGCACATGTGTGTGTCCTTGCACCCCCCCCCCACACTCCAGTGCCTGCTTGCATGCACGCTCCACATATGTGCAGGCTCGCACACATCCTCCACATGTAGCTGCAGGCTTGCACCTACCCTCTGTCCCATAGGTGTGCTTGCACACCTGTGCACACTCACACAAATTCAGCACCACAGGATGTGTAGCTGTTGATTGCCCAGGATGGATGGATGGGAGGAGAGGGGCTGCAGGAAGAGGCTGGGGGTCGCAGGGATGTGCCCTGGGGTCTCCCCTCTTCTGACCAGGCTATGAGTCCAGGGCTGTGGGGACGGAGACAGGAGAGGTCACGCTGTGGGCTGCAGAGCCCTGCCTGGGTGCCCAGCAGTGAGAAAGGGAGTGAGGGTGATGGGGGTACCTGGTACCCTGGGGCCCTGGATGCCACAGCAGAGCCCGGCAGTGCCAGGCTGGAGCTGTCCATGGCACTGGGAGGGTCCCAAGGAAGAGGGGGTCTGTGTGCCCCAGCCGGGGACAGGGCGGCACAGCCTGGCTGTGGGCACCAATAAATGCCTCGCTAGCAGTGCTGTGTGGGGTGGTTTCTGGGGATGGAGGTGAGCAAGCGGCGTGCTCAGCCCACAGGGTGCACGCATGGCATGCACGAGGGTGCCTGGGTAGGGGATGGCACTGCTGGTGCTCAGTGCGGTGCAGGTGGGCACTGCCATCTGGGGGGCACATACCCACATGTGGCCTTTGTGGGGGAGCCCAGGGCTTTGCGGGGCACCTGCGGGAGCCTCCTGGCCCAAGGGTCTGCTAGATGCGGGCATCAGGCTGCTCTGTGTGCCTGGTGCCCACCCAAGAGTGGGGTGCGGAGAGGGCAGGGACGGCCACCCTGTGGGCACCCCGCTCCTGTGCCCGAGCCTTGCTCTCCCCACGTTTGTATTTCAGGGCTGGTGATGCTGGGCTCCAACGGGGAGTACCCCTACCTGGCACCCCACGAGCGGCTGCAGATGGTGAGCTGTGTGCGCCGGGCTCTGCCCAGGGACCGCCTGCTGCTGGCCGGCTCAGGCTGCGAATGTGAGTGCCTGCGTGGGCAGCACGGGGGCCATGTGTGTTCCCCTGGAGCATCCCTCACCCCTCTGCCTCCTCCCCAGCCACCCAGGCCACCATCGAGCTGACGGTCAGCATGGCAGAGGCGGGGGCCGACGTGGCACTGGTCGTGACACCCTGCTACTACCGGGGGGCCATGACCAGCGCTGCCCTGGTCCAGCACTACACGGAGGTGAGCCATGCCTGGTGCCCACCGGCAGCCCTGGCCGGGGCAGAGGGATGGGGAGTACGTCCCGCATGTCTCCAACCCATCCCAGCTGCTGAGCTCTGCCTGGCTGCCTGCAGGTTGCTGACGCGTCCCCCATCCCCGTGGTGCTCTACAGCGTCCCTGCCAACACCGGCCTGGACCTGCCCCTGGAGGCTGTCCTTGCCCTGGCTCAGCACCCCAACATCCTTGGGATCAAGGACAGCGGTGGGGACGTGAGTGGGGCAGGGCTTTCCTGGGGCTCGCTGCCGCCAAACCTGTCCCCAAGCTGGGAACGGGGAGCTGGGACTCATGGCCTTTCCCCGGACCCCAGGGGTGCTGGCAGGAGCCCTGCGGTGGGGGGACGGGGTGCTGCCTGCCCAGGGCACAGTGTGTCTCTCCCCAGATCACCCGCATGGGGCTGATGGTCCACAAGACACGGCAGGAGGATTTCC